CTTCCTCTGAATCTTCCTGTATTTCCCTCCTTAATGACAAAGCCATTTTAGCTCTACCTCTGCTAAAATTCCTGAGAGAAGCAAGCGCTGCTGTTTATACGCTATGATAAAATGGGTGTTGTAAAACAGCAAAAGGGAGGAGTGAATCACCCTGAGACAGAGAGGGTTCTGGTGCTGTTCCCTGGTGTTTCTGGTTTCTTTTCCCTGCCTGTGTGCTGGGGCTGAGCCCCAGGCCGGGGTGCAGGGCCCTGGCTGGGCAGGCAGCAGGCTCTGGGCAGGTGTGCCGTGGGCAGGCGCGCAGGCTCACACCGCACGCCTCACAGATGGAAGATCCTTTTTTTCTCTGGATGATTTGTTCCAATGGTTAATCATCCTCACACAAACACAGGATTATTTTTTTTAATGACATACCAGGAGATAACGTTCAGAAACTTTTAGGATGGGCTTTGTCTCCACCGGGCAATCTCTTGATTTCTGCCTACTCTATGAATGCCATGATGACTGACTAAAATTAGCTGTGACTTCACAGCTTCCCTGTGCCCTTGCAAGACTAGCTTTGAACTTGAAAGCCTCCTACACAAAGTGCTTTGTGCTATCAACCTGGTCACAGCAGATGAGAAAAATGTGGCACTGAATGCAGCGGCCTTCCAATAAATAGATCCACAGTACAGCCATGCATGACTCGAGATCAAAGACAGAGTGCAAGTGCTGAGGTCATTAAACATGAATAGAAATACAGAAATGCAACAGCTTGCATGAAAGGCTGAGCTTGACTTGAAAGTGATGAAAGCTTGTGTAGTCAGTGATTGTTCACCCGTGATAATGCTCTTGCCGTCAGTGGTTCTCTGCATTAGAAAGGTGAATAAACAATCATTCTTGGGGTAAAGCATCGAGGTGTGGGGCAGTTAATGATTTGTACCAAGTGAAAATAGGCTCAGAGATGCTCAGCATCAGCAGCTCTCGGGAAAGTCAGAGTGCCACAGGTGTCAAGCTGGAAAATCAGCTCCTGGTCACCAGTTCTACAACTGATGGATAAGGATTTACCCACACAAATCCTTCAGGAATGATGTGGTATCAGAGGTCACCAGCATGAAAGGAGGTTTGTGGTAAGATATTCACAGGCACAGCCCCAACCCAGCACGATTCAGCACCAGCTTTCAGTAGACCATTTTCACAGATGGTCTTTCTGAGATGGCTGCATTTCTTCAACATGTCATATATTTTTTAATATTCTGAAGCCTAAGAACATCATAATATGGGAAATGCTTCCTGGTTCCTATCACAATAGAGTTAATTATAGCCTGTGCAGTGTTTTGAGCAACTACAACGGAAGCTGTGCAAAAAATGACGACTTTAGGAAACCTCTATTAGAAAACAGCCCCCCTGCCATGTTTCTAATAATTTCTTGATTAGCAGCATAACTGTCTAATAAGGTTTCTGGGGTATTCTGATACTGTGTGGAATGATCCAATCTGCAGCCTGAGCTAATGAAGTGACACTCAGCATTGCCTTCTGCCAATGTCTGTCTGTTACTCTGGAGCCACCTCCCTCAGGGCGGTTTGTGGGCAATTCTGAGCAAGTGCAGGTGCCTCCAAGGAGCAAGGTGACTGTGCTTAACCATGTGGGGCAAGTGGCAGAGCTCCAGCCACATCCTTTTCTGGGAAAAGAGGGAAAATGCCAGCTTTGCTTTCCTCTGAGCTCTGCACAGTGTGTCCCAGGGCAGACCCACAGCATATGGCAGAGCAGCCTTCTGAAGATGTAGCTGCACCACATCCAGGTAAGAGCCTCAGGAAAGAACTGTTGCTATCAGACTGAGCCAAATTCCTGCCCTTTTCCTCGAGGCTACTGGCTTCACACCAGTCTGGGAGGCAGCTTTGCCTCCTCTGTGCAGAGCTGGTATTGGAAAAGCAAATGATGACAGCTTGTGGGCTACACATCCCCTGCTCATCTTTCACCTCTAGCACAACCACTGAACGAGACCTTTACCCAACAACATAATCTGGCTGAGGCCAAATGTTTCAGCTCCTTTCCAAATCTATCAGCAGAGCTACAAGCACCCCAGAGTACTGCAGGCACTGAGTGCTGTAAATCAGAGATCATCTTAGCTGCTAACTGGGGTTTCAGACCAGTGCCATTTTTCAAGCTGGCCTGACATTTAAGTCCATACTAAAAACCTCTGCTGACTTGAAGATTTTGGCTGGAAACGCTTGTAAGGAATGTGTTAAATACCTGGGGAGTGAGTGAAGATGCCAGCAGCAATCAAGATTTTTCTGGAGCAGCTCTCAGCACAACTGCAATCCCTCACCACAGATATGCAGAAGCAGCATGCTGTGACCTCTGAGCCAGACTGTGAAGAATCTCTGGGGGAGATGATATTGGTATTTCCTGTGGTACTCAGCACTTGTGGTGCCCAGAATATGGGAAACTGTCATGCAGCTGCCTGGAGGGGTGGAGAGAAGACTGAATGCACATTCTGGTGAAGTACAGGTCGATGGGAGAGCTCACCAAGCCCCCCAACTTTGTGCTTTGGTCAGTGGGGATGGGGAGAGGGGTTCAAACCATCTGAGTTTTTGTAAGAGAGCCCAGGACAAGCAGCAATAGCTTCTCATGTGGGAATAATTATTAACACCCAGCTCTCGCTGAGTCTCAGCCCTTGGCACTTGTGAGCGACAATGAAAGTGCTCTGGTTTTTGCAGGATGGAGGATTTACAGCCACACCTCACAGTCCACACAGCAGCAAGCACCTCTCCCTGTGTTCATTCCATTCTCCCCAACATTATTTCTCTCTTTTTGTTTTTTTAATCCAGAGCAGGTTTTTATCCTCCCCGACACCCCTTCTCTGATCTTGGTCAAAGCATTTAATCTCTGTGACCCACTTTCCCCATATGCAGACTAAAGGCTACTATGTGAATGCTGTGCTTTGGAAGTGCTTTTTTTTTTTTCTTTTTTTTTTTGCAACTTTCTTATATTTTCTCAGATTTCAGAAGGAATATTTATCCTCTGGTGCTTCTCCAGCCCTTGCTGGTTTTCCCTACTTTCTTGGTGCACTCTCAGCCAGCAAAATAGTGTGCTGGCACTGAATACTCCCTAATTTTCTGCCATGTCCTTGATATTTAGTTTCACATCTTTTGGAATTAAACCCTATTGTAGAACACCTATCTAAACCCTGAATTAAAGCAACTGGAGTTCCTTCTCTTTTGTACTACTACAGCCTGGATCATAATCTGACTGACATCACAAGTACCTAAAATATAAAATTAACTTCAAACATTAACTTCAAACAGCAGTAATTTTGCCCTCAGAGTATATCAGGAGTCCTGAGACAGCCCTGGAAGCTGTGTGCAAACAAAAGGCATGGTATACAGATTTTTTTTTTTTTTTTGTATGCTTGTGCTGTAGTAAGGCTGGGTCTGGCCGCCACTGATGGGTGATAGCAGAGCACACATTATCTTCACCAGATAAGAACCAATCACCCATCTTGTGAGGACATCAATGAGCCAGGGGATGCCTCTGCACAGAGGCTGGGATTCAATACAGCAGCCCTGCTTGATAAGCCAAGCCTAAATAAAACCATCAGGTCACCCAAAGGTGAGTGTTCATCCCCCACATATACTACTGACTCTACAACTTGTGTTCATTTTTTCCTAGAAGTGAAAAATCTGGTCTGTGCAGCTTTTAAGGAGGTTTTAAAATAACTATTTTTCCATCTCTGTGGTTTAAATAGACTCATAACCATACTACTTTTAGCCTGGAAGTGAGAGAGGATGCTAAAATATCAGACATTTTTAATAGAGTAAAGAAAAAGAAAATATTGGCTTGGTTACCAGCAGGATTAGGAAAAAGATGGTGAGATCTGAGTTACAGATCACAGTTCTAGGCCCCTACTATGAAGGCAGCTTCTGGGAGAAATATGAGATATGAGAAAAGTTCCAAAAGTTAGAACCCTGCAGAAAATACCTAAAAGTAAATCAGGGGTATAAAGTATACTTGGAACACAATTCCCAGCAACAGCATCCATGCCTTGTCCCAGTCTTTGTTAAACAACTCTACTCCATTACTCTCCAAGACTCACTAAGCCATCATCTTATTTTCAGCCTGAAAATATAATTAGCACGGATAACCAGCTGCTGCTGTGATCTGAAGTATGTGACAGCTTTCCTTCTGTACTCAGGTACATTTTTAAGATGCTTTAGAAGCTTTAGAAATTATCATTAAGTCTCACTTTGTTTTAAAGATACCCCATCCACGGTCATATTTCTGAGGCCAGTTCTAGCAGCAGTGGTACTGCAATGTACCAAAAAACTTGAATTGCAACCTTCTCCTTCTGCACTGCAGGAAATGGTGCCTTTCTGGTGTCCAAATCCCAGCTGGGGGCAGAAAACAAGATTTAAAGCAAACCAGGAGCCCCACCTCATTTCGTTCCCTGCCTCAATCTGAAGCTGCCACCTTTGCCCTCCTCTGATCTGCCATGTCTCTTTTGTGCTCCCTTCATAGTCACAACTATTTCTCAGTTGATGTCTACCAGTTTTAGACTACTCTTTACAGAAATGCTCAGCAGATGCAGATCACATCCCTGCTATTTTGTGCAAGACCTGCTCCAGCACATGTTTGCTAAGTGTTACATGATCCATCAGAGAGGGGAAGCACCTCAGGGACAGCTTCCTCTGAGGTAGCTAAGAAGTTGGGCCAGGATCCTGCCATCAGGTTACTGGCAAAAACACTTTCAGAGACATTTTTGTAGAACAGAGCAGGTTAAAATGTCATGCTTAATAAATGGAAGCTTCCCACTAAGAATATTGCTTATAAATGAGTATGGTATTGACCAAGACACAGTGTTAAAAAACTGCTTTGCCAACTAAAATTAGCCATCCACAATTACACACTCTTTTCTATCATTAACAGAAAAGCAATTAGCTACAACAGAAATTTGGTTTCAGCAGACACAAAGAATTGTGCTATTTAAACCTGTTGCCCATCATGAATTTAAGTCTTCTTAAAAATAGCTTTAGTCACTTTTATTGGTATAAACACCTAAATTGAGATCTAACAGCAAATAAGGATTGTGCTTGTCCATAATAACCTTAGCTGTGAAATCTACTCAGACACAAGACATACAACCTTCCACATACACAAGTTATTTGTCAGCAAAGCAGAATGCTGCCATTCTGAAACAATTACATACAGTAAAGGTTTTCAATATTTTATTAAAGAAAACAGTCAAAATGTACAAGTATTACCCAGGTTTGTAGATAACTTCCTATAAAGGCAGTAAAATATGAATTTCAATCTAGGTTTTAAAAACTGCTATAGTTGCTTATTTTTAAAGTTGGTATTTTAAAATCACGTTTCACAAATAGTTCTGAAATATTACCAAATTAATAGTGCAACAAGAAAATTTGAAATTAGTTCTACACTGTTTGCATGTCAAGCAAAAGTTATAACTAACAGCTTCAAATACTCAAACCATTTGAGAATGAATGAACCCAACAGCTCCCACCAAAACTGACTTCTGACCACATTAGGACGTCCTCTTCATGTTCTTCACTTAAAATCAAATAATAATAAAACAACACCTCTTGAGGTCATCAAAAATAACTTTAGTATAAAATTGTCTTGGCCCTTATCAAATATTACATGAGTAAAATTGTTAAGCCTTTATCAAAACAGACAGGAATAGGGAAACAAAAAAAATGTCATGGCCTTAATCCGTATCTGTTGGAATCATGTTTAGAAACGTTAGAAGCAAGACCAGAAACTCGGAGCCCTGTTTTGTTTTTAAAAACCACACAACCACAAAGAAAAGAACAGCTTCTTACTGCCTAAGGTTTGGGGGTGTTCTGCTCAAGTACCTGTTCCCATAGACAGCAACCTGTTATGTTCTGAAGAGAGCATACGCAAAATATAGAAAAATAAATAAAATAGCTTCTTACAGCCTAAGGTTTGGGTGCTGGGTGGTGGTTTAGTATGTCCCCCACAGGTCACACTCTCTTGAGCTCATATGCAGAAACATGGAAATTTATATCCATCTTTCTTTTTTTTTTTTAGAAAGAGAAAACCCCCCCTACATCCCAAAGCTCTTGAGATCGCAAAGGATGGTGCCCTGGGTGCTCTGGATGCTTTGGCAGCATGGGAAGTGGGCTCGGAGGCAGACCCTGAGCTCCTTGTTGAAGATGAAGCAGAGGATCGGGTTGACCCCTGCCTGGGCAAACGTCATCCAGACGGAGGTGGTCAGGTACACCTGCGGGATGGAGCTGGCCTTAATGAAGACCCGCAGGTAGCAGGCCACAATGTAGGGGGACCAGAGCAGCAGGAAGAGCAAGGTGATCATGTAGAACATCTTGCAGAGCCTTTTCTCCATCTTAAACTCCTCCAGCACCAGCAGCCTCTTGATCTGGCTGTGGGTGGCCTGCCTGATGCCCACGAGGGTGGGCGGCGTGGGCCCCCTGCCAAAGCCAGCCGTCCAGTTCGCAGCCGCTTGGCCGGTGGCTCCCGGCCCATGGAAGGTCCAGTTCTGGCTGATGGCCGGTACCAGCTGGGCCGGCTTCATCTTGCGGTGCCCGTGGATGAAGAAGAGCAGCTTGATGTATACCAGGTGGGTGGCGGCGATGACGGCCGCCAGCATGAGCATGAAGCCCAGCGTGTCATTGGCCTTGACGTAGCGGTGCTCGAAGATGCACTGTTCCTCCTCCCGGATGAACTTGTAGGTGCCCACGTCAAAGACGGGGGGAAAGGCCATGGCCATGGAGAGGGTCCACACCATGCACACCACAGCCAGGCAGGTCCAGCCCGTCATGCGCTTGGCGTAGAAGCGGTGGTGGGCGATGGCCATGTAGCGCGTAACCCCCACGCAGAAGAGCAGGAA